CTTTAAAAGTCAAAATTACGAGTTTTCAACTGCGCATGTGCAGTTGAAAACTCGTATGTGTTGTTGTCTGGAACGGTCTCTGGACGTCCTTCACCTGCAGATTATGTGAAGATATTGCCTTCAGTGACCACTGCATCCATGAAGTAGCCAGAAATAATGTTGTTTGATTGATTCTGTAAAACTTTCCTGTTTAAGCCCCTGACCGCGGTCGTAGGAGGCAGGGAGGAGCTGTTTTATTTATTTATGTTAAATTCAATTTACATATATACAACATTTAAATCAAACGACTTCTTATTTCGACATAGTAACAAATAATGTGAGCAATACGTTTTTATAATTAATCAAAGGAAAATGAGCCATCGAGACATTCCAATCCAATCTGCTGTAGACCACTCTGACCAGACGATGACGCTGAGAGGGGTCCACACGGAGCGAGTCTTTCCACGGCTGAAATGATGCGCTTTCTACGTGTTGAGTACAGGGTTTTATTCATGCATCTATAATGGGTTTATCTATTTCTAACCCTTTTCAAAGACCCTCACTGTTATCTGCGGAGTTATTTCTCCGGATTGTTGCTAAAAGAGTCGTGGGCTTTATTTTGTCACAATAAAATAATCAGACAAGGTACTTATTCCCTGTATGTCTCTGTGTTCTTGCTCATACGCCAACAACTTTACCCGCACGCTCGCTCCATCAGCTCACCCCCGCATGCACGCAAACACGTCACATACTCTTCAATGCACTGATCGCAATTCCACAAGGGTAATAATGTCAGTGCCCGTGACTGTGGTTCTCCTGCCTCTGTCTGTGGTTCTCCTGCCTCTGCCTGTGGTTCTCCTGCCTCTGCCTGTGGTTCTCCTGCCTCTGTCTGTGGTTCTCCTGCCTCTGTCTGTGGTTCTCCTGCCTCTGTCTGTGGTTCTCCTGCCTCTGTCTGTGGTTCTCCTGCCTCTGTCTGTGGTTTACCTGCCTCTGTCTGTGGTTTACCTGCCTCTGTCTGTGGTTCTCCTGCCTCTGTCTGTGGTTTACCTGCCTCTGTCTGTGGTTCTCCTGCCTCTGTCTGTGGTTCACCTGCCTCTGTCTGTGGTTCTCCTGCCTCTGTCTGTGGTTCTTCTGCCTCTGTCTGTGGTTCTCCTGCCTCTGTCTGTGGTTCTCCTGCCTCTGTCTGTGGTTCTCCTGCCTCTGTCTGTGGTTCTCCTGCCTCTGTCTGTGGTTCTCCTGCCTCTGTCTGCGGACCTCCCTCACTATCCAGTAATCGCGAACGGTCTCTCTGTCAGTCACAATAATATTCACTGCATTTCTGGTGCATCCATCGATCGCAATGATACTGACCAGACGTCACCAGTTGATGCTCAATGACTTTGAACAGCCACATGTGTTTTATTATTAATCTTCCACAGTCCGTTTAGGATAAACTAAATAGAGGCTTCTGAAGCGGATTCTAATCATAAACGGAGAGACCGTTTGCATTTTAACGCGATTACTACCACAACATTATTGCTGCTACTTCATGGATGTGGTCACTGTCTGTAGGCAAAATCTTCACATAATCTGCAGGTAGAGGATGACCCATGGTCATGGATCTATAACAGGGATGACCAGAGACCGTTCCAAACAACAACACATACGAGTTTTCAACTGCACATGCGCAGTTGAAAACTCGTAATTTTGACTTTTAAAGTCGTAATTTTGACTTTTAAAGTCGAAATTTTGACTTTTAAAAGTCGTAATTTTGAGTTTTAAACTCAAAATTTTGACTTTCTGTATGCTTTTTTTTTTTTTTACATGGCGGAAACGGGCTTCCATACATATGAACCAGCCCGGACTCTGAGGAGCACAGGGACTGGACTCCTGTTAGTGCCCAGAGTCAGGACTAAACATGGAGAGGCTGCTTTTCAGATTCATGCTGCTAAAATCTGGAACGGTCTTCCTGAAGATGTGAGACAGGCCTCCTCTCTGACAATGTTTAAAACCAGGTTAAAGACAGTTCTGTTTAGCTGTGCATACAACTGAGGGATTTTATATTTTTATCTTTCTTTTTAATGTACTGTGATTATTTATGATTTTAATGCTTTCTTGTTTTGTTCAGCACTTTGAGTTGCCTTGTGTATGAATTGTGCTATACAAATAAACTTGCCTTGCCTTGCCTTGGGTCAATAGGTCTCCTGTTGCCTTCCCCCACCACGGCCAGAAACTTCCATACCAGTACCATATCAATGCCCCAGTCACTTCACCCACTAACCACTTTGCTTGGTCTGTAATGGGGGAGGGGCAGGTGGACGTTGCTCTGTGCTCTGCGATCTGGGGTCTGTGGTCTGGGTCGTGTGGCTGAGTTCTCAATAGTGTCCAGTCCACATGACAAGACCAGTGGCCCCCGTACAGTGACCCCCGTACAGTGGCCTTGTGGTTCTGTTTTTTTTTTTTTTTTTTAAACACAGTTCACATGCAAAAGATATTTACAAAGCAATGAGTAAATTACCTAGACAAATGGTTATACAGTGGGGCAAAAAAGTATTTAGTCAGCCACCGATTATGCACGTTCTCCCACTTAAAATAATGACAGAGGTCTGTAATTTTCATCATAGGTACACTTCAACTGTGAGAGACAGAATGTGAAAAAGAAATCCAGGAATTCACATTGTAGGATTTTTAAAGAATTTATTTGTAAATTATGGTGGAAAATAAGTATTTGGTCACTTCAAACCAGGAAGATCTCTGGCTCTCACAGACCTGTAACTTCTTCTTTAAGAAGCTCTTCTGTCCTACACTCGTTACCTGTATTAATGGCACCTGTTTGAACTCCTTATCTGTATAAAAGACACCTGTCCACAGCCTCAAACAGTCAGACTCTAAACTCCACTATGGCCAAGACCAAAGAGCTGTCGAAGGACACCAGGAAAAGAATTGGAGACCTGCACCAGACTGGGAAGAGTGAATCTACAATAGGCAAGCAGCTTGGTGTGAACAAATCAACTGTGGGAGCAATTATCAGAAAATGGAAGACATACAAGACCACTGATAATCTCCCTCGATCGCAAGATCTCATCCCGTGGGGTCAAAATGATCATGAGAACGGTGATCAAAAATCCCAGAACCACACGGGGGGACCTGGTGAATGACCTGCAGAGAGCTGGGACCAAAGTAACAAAGGTTACCATCAGTAACACACTACGACGACAGGGAATCAAATCCTGCAGTGCCAGACGTGTCCCCCTGCTGAAGCCAGTGCATGTCCAGGCCCGTCTGAAGTTTTCCAGAGAGCACATGGATGATACAGTAGAGGATTGGGAGAATGTCATGTGGTCAGATGAAACCAAAGTACAACTGTTTGGTATAAACTCAACTCGTCGTGTTTGGAGAAAGAGTTGCATCCCAAGAACACCATACCTACTGTGAAGCATGGGGGTGGAAACGTCATGCTTTGGAGCTGTTTTTCTGCTAAGGGGACAGGACGACTGATCCGTGTTAAGGAAAGAATGAATGGGGCCATGTATTGAGAGATTTTGAGCCAAAACCTCCTTCCATCAGTGAGAGCTTTGGAGATGAAACGTGGCTGGGTCTTCCAGCATGACAATGATCCCAAACACACCGCCCGGGCAACGAAAGAGTGGCTCCGTAAGCAGCATTTGACAGTCCTGGAGTGGCCTAGCCAGTCTCCAGACCTCAACCCCATTGAAAATCTGTGGAGGGAGTTTAAAGTCCGTGTTCACTGCTCTCGAGAAGATCTACATGGAGGAATGGGCCAAAATACCAGCTACTGTGTGTGCAAACCTGGTAAAGACCTAATAGCAATCGTTTGTAATATAACCTTTGTTGGCAATAACAGAGGTCAAAGTATTGAGTTGAATTTTTGTTATTGACCAAATACTTATTTTCCACCATAATTTACAAATAACATTTAAAAATCCTACAATGTGAATTCCTGGAGTTTTTTTCACATTCTGTCTCTCACAGTTGAAGTGTACCTTTGATGAATATTACAGACCTCTGTCATTATTTTAAGTGGGAGAACTTGCACAATCGGTGGCTGACTAAATACTTTTTTGCCCCACTGTTTGCTGTGTTATTAACCAGTTTTTCAGATGTAATTTGAATAGTGAGTATGGTGTGAATTCTCTGATGTTTGCTGGGATGGAGTTCCAGTCTCTGGCAGCGGTTACAGAGACGGCTCTGACTGAAGGCTCCGTCTCAGAGGAACCAGGCAGTCCCCTCGTGCTGCCCCTCTGGTTCCCCTCTGGTTCCCCTCTGGTTCCCCTCTGAGACACAGCGGTGTTCCCTACGTGGACAAACTGAGTGGAGGAGATGACTGATTGTGGATTATTTTATATATTAAACAGAGATTTGAATACTTAATGAGATTGTCCCAGTTTAATAGCCTGTGCTTTTGAAGAATATTGCAGTGATAATGTCGTAAGGGTTTTTTGTCCAGTACTTTTATTGTCTGTTTGTATAATGATTCTATTGGTTTTAATGTTGTTTTATTTGCCTGAGACCAAGTTGTTAAACAGTCAGTAATGTTCTGGAACACAATGATCTTTGAAAACTAAAATGTGAAAATATATGAGCAGTGATACAGTGTTTTAATCTAATTTAAAATATTGTATAACATTTAAGACTGGAAATGTTTCTAAAATAAAGTAATACAAATACTAATGGACACAAAAACATGTTTTATGCATTAGTACTGCATTAGATACTGCAGTAACAATGTGGGTACAATATATTCAGTTCCTCAGATAATAATGTTATCAGTAATACAGATATAACAGGGGTCCACTTAACCTTTGGCAACTCACATGAGCACAGAAAGGTTTAAACTAGGTGCGCCACTTCATCTTTAATATAGATATAGTAATATATTTCTTGACGGGATCCACACGTCACTGAAAGCTGGGGTCCGTAACTTTAAATCTGTGGTCTGTAACTTTCTTGCTCTCTGCCCAAAGAGTCAAACTGTGACTCACAGGGCTCTTTCTTACAAGTGTGTTATGTTGTGTGTCCAGAGCAGCTGAAGTGTGTGATGCAGCGGGTCCTGGACTTCGCTCTCTCTGAACTCACCAAAATCGTCGAAGCTTCATTTGACGATTTGCTGCTGGAGATCACTAAGATGGAGTCAGAGCAGAAGAGCCTACTGGAGAGGTCTGTCTGTGGTGTGTGGTGTAAAGTGTGTAGTGTGTTGTTGTGTATATTGTGTAGTGTGTTGTGTGTAGTATGTGAAGGAGAATGCAGAGTTAAGATCATTGTTTTCCTCAGGTCGATGGAGCGGCGACTGAACCACGACCGACGAGGATCTGAGAATGAGTCTGTGTCCCCAAGTGACGAAGAGGAGGTCAGAGAGGAGGAGGAGGACAGAGAAGGTGAGAGGAGAGAGGAGGAGAGGGGGAGGAAGAGAGGGAGGCAGAGGAGATGGGTAGGAGTAGGAGAGAGAGACAGAGGAGATAGAGACCGAGGAGGTGAGTAGAGGAGAGGAGAGAGAGAGCGAGGAGATGACTCACACTCACCCACACTCACCCTCACTCACCCTCACTCACCCTCACCTAGCCCTCAGATAAACTAAGCTTAAGACCCCAGCTTTAAAGGGTTTATAGGTTTAAGTTTTTTAAATACCTTAAATGTAACCCCCTGACTCTGATTCTCTCCTTTCTCCCCCGACTTGTTCCTAACTCTTCCCTGTTTCTTCCCTGACTTCCTCTAACGCCCCCCTGACCATGCCTCCCCCCTGACTTTGACTCCCCCTGACTGACTCCGCCCTGACTTTGACTCCCCCTGACTCTCCTGTAACACCCCTGATTCCCCCCTGACTCTGCCCCCCCCCCCTTCCCCATCTGACCTAACTCTCTCCCTGGTGCAGACCTTCCCTGGGTCCCTATCTTGGATAAAGTGTTCGGGCAGAAGTGGTGCGGTGAGGCATGGAGCACAGATGGAGGTGTTACCACGGAGACAGGAGTAGGTGGTTGTGGTTCTACACTGGCCCCGCCCCTCAGGTATGTGTCCCGTCTGAAGGAAAACTGATCGGCGACTCGTTAGTATTAGATTTAGCTTGTGTCTTCGTTATTATTAGCGTTAGCCTCTTTTTCTGCAGCCTGGACCCCCGCCCCTCCTCGCCACAGACTGACCCGCGCTGGACGCCGCTCGAGGACATGGAAGTGTTTTCTCCTGATGACGATGCCAATGTCGCCACAGCAACAGAGTCAGCCCTGCCCACATCTGCTACACCCACAGCTACATGTTCAGGCTCTGTTCACAGCCCCAAAGGTTAGCCCACCAGGGAGGGACCATAGAGGGACCAGAGGGAGACCAGAAATGTACCATAGAGAGAGACCAGAGAGAGACTAGAAAGAGAGATCAGAGAGGGATTAGAGAGACAAAGATTAGATACCTGCTGACTTTAACCTGTCTCTGTGGTTGGCAGCGGCGTCCATGTTGCACCGCCTCCTTACGCTCCCCTCGCAGCTGCTCGACGACGAGGACGCCGATGACGGCGAATTGGAGACCATCTCCATGGTGACAGATGCGGCCCTCGCCACAGAGGCACCCTCGAGCTTGATGTCTCCCACAGCAACCAGAGATGAGGAAGAGGAAGAGGAGGAGGAGGGGAGACGGAAGGTACTGTTACCACAGAGACACACAAAATCACAAAGTTGCTAACATTGGCTTCTCACGTTAAGAACTGGAACGATTCCTTGAAGTTACTCGAGTAATTCAAGGAATTTTCGTTGCCTCGAGGCTTTGTATAGTTTCCTTGTTTGATAAATCGTAGTCAAGCACTACACAGCTCCGGCCTTTTAAATTCTCGCTTCGCTTGTGTACTTTTTCGGCCACATAGCTCCACAGTTCTCGTCCCACACGACCTCCTTTGCGCGGTGCGGCGAGGGCCGTTTGACGCCGCTTGCGGCTTTAATTGTGTATTGTTTTCCCTGTTTGGTTCTAAAATAATTTCTTCAATTCTAAACAAAAAACGGGCCTCTTTGCATCCTTGCCCTTGATGTTGAAATCGTCACAGATGTGGCCCCGGGCGTCTCGCTGCCTCTCAAGAATGAAAGAGAAAGATTGCTCTCTGACTAAAGCTTGAAGGAATCAATGAAAAAAACTACTCTGGGCATGTGTATGAGGCCAAAGAGCACTGTGAGGATGTTTAAAGTAGAGAAAAGTCAAAAAGCGTAATATGGGACCTTTAAGTGGTTTGTCATTTAATATTATATATCTGTAATTAAGCCTTAATTAAACAAAAATAAATTTATTAGATTACTCAATTAATGGAATTGATGAGAACTTTTCACAAAGGTTGGGCTCAGTGGATTGTCTTTGTCATCCTCAACTTTATTCTTTCTAAATTTAGTTTTCTATAAATCCACACTGTTCTCTGCTCTGTCCACTCTAGACTTTAATATAAATAACATGAGATAGTTGTGAATATCCTGACGCTCCCCAGTGCCCCCTGTTTGTTACAGATTTGTTCTGTGCTGTTTCCTGCAGAAGAAGCGGCGGCGCGTGTGGACGGAGTGCGAGGACTGTGGGCGCCGCTTCAGCCGCATTTCGCTGCTGAAAACTCACCGTCAGACGCATCAGAGCGAGACTCACCAGGGCGAGAGCGCCACGCTGAGCTGTGGCACCTGTGGGAAGCGCTTCTCCTCCCAGACCAGACTGCAGAGCCACATACACACCAGCCACGGGGCCAGCCACGGGGCCAGCCACGGGACCAGCCACGGGGCCAGCCACGGGGCCAGCCACGGGGCCAGCCACGGGGCCAGCCACGGGGCCAGCCACGGGGCCAGCCACGGCGTCACGCAGGCCTGAAGACAAGAGAGAGGGGGAATTACACCACACCAGAGCCGTAACCAACCACGGTATTAACCACGCAGTGAAGCTACCTGAAGACAAGAGGAAGGGGAGATACTGAGAAACACAATAACACACAGGTCTGTCCTTAGAGACAAACACATGTAAATCCTGAAGACAAAGGAAAGGGAAAAATGTAGAGACCCCGCACAGAGCAGCAGGTCTTGAAGACAAGACTCTGGTGAAAGCAATCAAAGATTACAGAGACACGCTGAAGAAGGCCTGCAGACAAAACACTGGGAAAATGTACCTATGAATCACCGGCCGGGTAAAACAGGCCTGAAGACAAGGGTAGGGGAAAATAATGAAAACAAGCCCAAAATAATGCTTCCAGACCAGAAAGAATGTAGTATCAGTCAATTAGGCCTGAAGACAAGGAACTGGGAATACTGGTGCATATGGAACTATTTGTATAGAATATTTGGATCAAGGATCCAATCAAAAATGCTTTAAAAACCTGAATGCAGTAAAACTGCAGTGCCATCAGCCCAGGCAAGAAAACAGGAAAAATGCTCAACACAAATACACAGATGTTGGTGAAAGGAAATGGGAAACTTTCAGTTTGAAATACACTGTTACAAGAGAAGTCTCATTCAAACTGCAGTAAACCAGACCTGCAGACAAGAAACTGGGGATAATCTGGATAAGAGGCGTGTGTGAAAACATGTATGTTGCCTGAAGACACCAGTTACACTGGGACAGAAGACAAGGAACCAGGGAAACAGAACAAGTCTGAAGGGAAAATATCAAAAAAGCATAAAAAGTGAAATAGTGTAGTTCAGAAAAAGGGAAACATTTCAAAACCAACACAAACATTAATAAGACTCAACACTGTGGGGAACGCTGAGCAGACAAAACCCAGGGAAAATCCACATATCACCGACGGAAGACCTGCGCCTCAACGAAAGACAAGACAAAGGGAAAAGTGTTGAGAAAAATCACTGACATTTTGCCAAAAGTTCAGTTCATGATGTTGTTCCTCGTTTCTGTGCCAACGCCCAGAAAAACAACACGTTTTGTTTTTAAATAATTAAAATGTTGCACAAAAAGCATAGAGTCAAAAGCCATAAACAAGTGAAAAAATTAAAAGCACCTTTTTGGAGAAAGTGAAACTCCTGAAGATTGTACTTTAATGTTTAAAGGGACAGTACTTCCACAGAGTTCAGAATGTTCTAAAGTCAAGAGTCTGGAAAATGCTTCAGAATCGAGTGTCAGAACTCTCTCCCCATTGGTCTAACTCTGCTCCAGTAAGTCTGACTGGTTTGAGCATACACTGTATATAATAGTATGACATCACCATAGTGTTATGCTGCTTTCAGACCGCCAACGCTGGGACCCTGACGCCTCACCATCGTTTCTCTAATTTTCAGACGCAGGGGTGTTCAGATCAGAAGTCCTGGCCTGCGGTGGCGCCCGCCATAAGTGGCAGAAGTACCCGGCGGACTTCAATGCTAATGGGGTTAAAGACCTTATGACGGGTTTTTTTAAAAAAAATAGTGGATATCAAAATTGCATGACAATGTCAATTTGAAAGAGATTCCGGCAAAAAAAATCCTATATTTTATAAAAAGAACGTGTTTTTCATGAATTTAAGTTGTCTATGCTCTAACCTGTGTGTGACGTCACAGCGGGTTACGCCCATGCATTGAAAACCATGGATCTATGCCACAGGACTTTTCTCTCTTCTCTCCACTGATGCCCAACACAATACTGCCCTCTACAGGTGACAATTGCTCACTACACATAAATTGCCGTTTTGAGAGTGAAAAAGTGCCCGAGGTGGGATTTGAATCCAAGTATCTGGATTGGCAGTCCATCGACACAACCACTGGACTATCTCAGTGATAACGAAATGTTACATTCTAGTACTTATATAAGACTCGCTGTACACGGCCTTGTCATCTTGAATATCCGCAAAAAAAGAACGAATACCAAATTGTAAACAACTTACAGCGTTGAAACGTACCCACTCTGACGTCACCAAGGGCTGTGAAGTTTTTTCGTCTCTAAGGGCGTTGCTATGGGGTTATTTCGATTTGGGGGGATCAGACAAAAAAAACAACAACTGATTTTGAAACCTTTAGTAGTTCTCTTCTAATATAAAATGGTATTAAAACTGTATTTCTAAATAAATCAAACCCGTCATAAGGTCTTTAAGGTAGCGGCTTCTCCAATAATGCAGCGTCTCTGTGTCCAGAGACGTGTGTTCACGGAGATGCTCCATACGTTTGTTTTATGATTAAACGGTACTTCCTTATCGGCAAACACGCTCGAAGCAGTTGCATAAAGTCACAGGAGCATGAGAACGCATATGTTCACAAGCACTGAGTTCCCCATTGTCAACCCTGGTTTAGTCCTGGTGTAGCTCCTGTTTTGGCTGTTTACAGTATTTTCAGTCTGCTCGCTCAGACCGCCAATGTCCCTTTGACCACTTTGCGGCTCTCTGATTGGTCGCTACACGAGCGTCCGGAGGAAACGCCCAGCAATATTTATCTCCTGCGTGCGTCGATTTTCCGCTCGTGCGCCTCTGCCGCGCTTTTGCCACATGCAGTTTGACGCTCGAACGCGCGTCACCATTGACTTTGCATTGAAATTCACACAATGCATGATCCGGTGTGAAAGCAGCATTAGCCTTAATGCAGAAGAAACTGGTTTGAACAGAGGCCAGTTTCTTTATATATATTTTTTTTAACAGACGAAAGCCTTACAAACCGAATACAACCCAAAAAACATACTGACATTACTCCATATGACAATGGGCACGCAGCAGGGTGTTGCAGGGTGTTGGAGGGTGTTGGAGGGTGTTGCAGGGTGTTGGAGGGTGTTGCAGGGTGTTGGAGGGTGTTGCAGGGTGTTGGAGGGTGTTGCAGGGTGTTGCAGGGTGTTGGAGGGTGTTGGAGGGTGTTGCAGGGGGGGAGGGAGTGGCAGACCCTTGGTGTGTATTATATTAATACAGCAAAGTGATGTGGTTCTTTACTGAGGCAGTTAGTGAGTGCAGTTTCACCTCGCACTGTTCATCGTTTGTGGCACAACTCTCTCGTTATTCCAAAACATTGTGTCAGGGAGGTTGCAGTTGATTTTATGAATTCTTTGTGGAGTGATATATGATCTAAATACAATTTTACATCGTATTACCTTGTACCTGACACATTTTGACTTTTGGAATGGCTAAATATTGTCTCCCACCAATTCTTGGTGATTGGTCACTCTTCATATGGCTTTATTACAAAGACAATATCACATTTTAAACACCAGGATCAAGCGTTTTAAGCCCAAAATGGTGAGTGTGACACAAACGGTTACTGAGCTCGAGGAGCCAGAGCGAGTTGGAGCCAAACTTCACCATGAGCACTTCTCCATCAGGCCTCATTGAGCTATCTTTAGCATTGTCCGCCTGTATATAGTCTATGCTCAGACTGGGGAGCATACTGCCCCCTGCTGCCCATGTGCAAACACTGACCACACAGTTGGTTCAGACTGGGGACTCAAATAAAAGTAAACTGTTCGAGCTGATGACCCGAATTTCCTTCTAAATGAAAGAAGTTCAGCGTCTTCATCGGACACCGCGCTGTGGGGATTGTCTGGAGCGGAGTTTCAAATGTATGCGTTGGACTCGGTTTAGAAGCGTTTGGGACAGAGATACATTTAGTCCAATAAACTGGTTAAAAATATCTTCCTGAAAATCGCCTTAAACAGAAGATTCATCAAAGTCACTGAAGCGACTCGGAGGCGTTTGGGACAAAGGGACTTCAACCTGAGCCTTTTGTGGATTTGAAATCTCAAGTGGAAAAACACAGACTTTTGTGGATTTGTTCAGAAACTCGAAACGCTGGACTTTGAGATTCAACATTTATTTTAATTGGAGAGATTTTTGTTTTTTGTTAAGAGGAAAAACTCGACAGATCTGACAACAAAACGCAATAAAAGCAGACCCAGGACTGAGGCTGTAGACCCAGGACTGAGGCTGTAGATCCAGGACTGAGGCTGTAGACCCAGGACTGAGGCTGCAGATCCAGGACTGAGGCTGTAGATCCAGGACTGAGGCTGTAGATCCAGGACTGAGGCTGTAGACCCAGGACTGAGGCTGTAGATCCAGGACTGAGGCTGCAGATCCAGGACTGAGGCTGTAGACCCAGGACTGAGGCTGTAGACCCAGGACTGAGGCTGCAGATCCAGGACTGAGGCTGTAGACCCAGAACTGTGGCCAGAGATCCCAGGTCTACAGCCTCTGTCTGCTGAGACCTGCGTTGGTATCAGCAGCAGATGTGATTTCTTGTTTGTCCGTTCTGTCGTTGGTCTTGTTCCTCGGACTCTGTACATACCCGAGCGCTGTTCCAGTGGCCTTTTCTTCTTTTTTTTTCTTTCTTTTTTTAAATCTCTGAACGTGAACTTTAATTTTGTCGTTTTATGTTGTTTTATGTACTTTTTCCACTTCCTGTCAGACCTCAGACACAGATACCTCTGCTGCCAATTTTACTTTTAAACCAGGAACCCATAAGTGGAGACCCAAGACCGTAGACCCAAGACCGTAGACCCAAGACCGTAGACCCAAGACCGTAGACCCAAGACCGTAGACCCAAGACCGTAGACCCAAGACCGTAGACCCAAGACCGGAGACTGTAGACCCACGACCCAAGCCAGAGACCAGAGAGAGTGACCCGAGAGAAGCTGGTGGGCACATTATCAGACCATTTTAACCCACAAAGGCATTTAAAACAAATTTTTGGTGCTCACAAATGCAAATGTAAACCTTGTTTAACAAGTCACAGATTTCATGGACCCGGACTTTTTTTTCAAACAAAGTTATATCAAACCAAAAAAATGACCCCAGATTTTGAAAGCAGCTCACAGTTAGAGGAGGTTTAATATCTACTGAAGCTGTTGATCCAGGACTGAGGCTGTAGACCCAGAACTCAGGGTGCTCAAAGGGAAAAACAACATCCATTGATCGCTAGCTT